CCTCCTCCTGGGACGGCAGGGAGCGCTCAGCTGTGCTAATGAGAAGGTATCACAGCTCAGCAAGTGCCTGACTTGCTAAGGCAAACAAGATATTGGCTGGAACTAATGCAGAAAAAAGATGTCCCTGCTGTTGTGCTTTCCCTCTTTCTGCTTTTTTTTTTTTCCCAGCCAAACTGGCTGTACTCTGGGTTTTGGATTCCTTCAGCTGCATAGAAGGGCACATGATTTACTGAAAGCGAGAAGCTCACAGAGGAAAAAAAGGCCGTGAGATTATTTTGTATCTGACGCAATCATTAATAGTATTATTTCTTCTGGAGCTGAGAAGGACACTTATAAAACATCTAACAGGCTGCTAAGGAGGTTGCCTAAAGCACTGATTTTTAAGATCTGCTGCTTGTGCCTGTTCTTTTGTGCTCTGTACGTATTTCAAGCTTCAGTTTCTTTACATGAGAGGGACTTCAAATGAAATTTCTGAAAGGTGTTTCTGACAGTTCAGTGGGTGTTCTCTTCAAATATTGGGCCCAAGTTACATGCTGGAGGTGTGACACAAGCCAGCACAATACATGTGCTTCATATGTCCAGACCTCCTGCTTTACATCAGAGAAAAGCAATAACCCCCTCTGTGCACACATATCTCGCAGGTCCTCCAGATCTATTTCCAGTATTGAAACCAAGCACAGTTAGATGAGTGATAGTCTCCAAGCTGAGGATGCTGCTAGAGGGTTGGTGTAACCCCATTGCCTGCCTCAGCCTGGAACTGCACCGAATCCCAGCCTGCCTGGCAATCCCAGTCCAGTTACAAGGGATGGTGGTGGAAGGCAGCTGATGGCACTTCCTCGGGGCCAGGCTGTCATCTCCTGCAGCTCACACAGGCTCCAGCAGAAGGAGTGAGATTTAATGGGCAGAAGAGTTCAACCTGTCCTCCTGACAGCTCTGCTCAAGTGCTTGAATTGAGCATCAGCAGAAGCACATCCCTGCATCACAGACACAGCATGCCTCTTCCTCCTGGAGAGAAGCAAAGCCAGGGACTTGGAAACTGGTGCTGGCTGGCTGGATTCATTTGTAACCAGTGCATATGCTATTGGTCACTTCAAAAGTAATGCCTCCTATTTCTTTCTATGGATATTATAACAAGATACAAAGATAACACTATTTGATAGAGCAAATTCTCAAGCCTGCATGCTGCGCTCATAAAAATCTGTACCAGTGGAGATGACTCACTGTCCCTGTCACCACTGCTGAAACATACAGACAAACCTTTTCCATTTCTTTGCCCAGTGTGGTTCAGATGAGTAGAACCAGGAAAAGGAAAAAATAAAAACAACGACAGATTTCAGCTTTGACCATCCGGGCCAAGCAGCAAAAAGTTCTCCAGTTCACCACCACCAGCTTTCCAAGTCGCTCAGCATTCATTCTGCTGCCTGAGCAAAAGGAATAGCCAATGCCAGCTTCTCGTGTCCCCCTCTGATTTCTGATTTTGACTGCTCATCTTTTGTACAGACACAGGTGCACTGCAGCTTTGGCCAAGGCAGCAGGGGGCAGTTATCACCATAACTACCCAGCTGCTGGAACCAGGCTGCACAGCAATTATGCTAAACTCTGCAGCACGCAGGCAGCTATCACCCTCACTACATCTTCCTGAAAAAGAAAGCCTCAGCCAATACTGCATAGCATCTGAGCAGCAGTTTCCAGGTAGAGAGACTCTGTTCACCCTGTGACGCAGAGCACGAGGACATGCCTTTTGGTCTTACCAGCAGCAGACATGTAACATGAAATTGCTTGCTGCTTTCTGCCTCTGTAGGACTGTTTTTTTAAGGGGCTTAGCAAAACAGCTAGTTTTCTTGTTGAGCTAAATAGTAAAGAGAGGGTGTAAGAGGGGACAGCAGCAGTTTCTTGGAAGCCAGTGTGGTTTTGAAGGTTTTTCTGCAGGGGTTCTGGGACTGAGTTGAGTTGATGCACCTGCCCCTCTGTAATCAGTGCTTCTCTCCTCCAACAGAAGCCAAAGGGAGTTCAAGTGCTTGACTTTCTGTTGCCTGGCAGCTCAAGCTCAGCATAGGTACAGAAACATTAACGTTTTCTTTTTTTTCTGTAGGGCTACAGGATCCATCCTTCACTATCTCAGTGCACTGGTGGGCATGGGACAGCAGGAGCTTCCCTCCTCCACAGGCAGCCTGGGGCCCTCTGAAGGCTCTTGGTGTGCTCATCTTTTGGGAACAGTTGGAAGCAGAGGCAGCGTCCATTTTTTGCCCAATCTTTGGATGCCCCATCCCTGAAGGTGCTCAAGGCCAGGCTGGATGGAGCACTGGGCAACCTGATCTGGTGCCTGATGTAGTGGCTGGTAACCCTATTCACAGCATAGAACCATAGAATCATAGAATGGCCTGGGTTGAAAAGGACCACAACGATCATCTAGTTTCAACCCCCCCTGCTGTGTGCAGGGTCACCAACCAGCAGACCAGGCTGCCCAGAGAGCAGTGGGGCTGGAGCCAGACGATCTCTGGGGCCCCTTGCAACACAAGCCATTCTACGATTCCACGACTGTATGGTTCAAAATGCAGTTCCTCCTATAAACATCCTCAGAAATCCCAACTCCAGGCAGAGAAGGCTACATGAACAGCTCAAGACATCAAAGGCCTTTCTGTTCTTACACGAGGGAATAAAGCTTCATTATGAGTCTGATCATCCTAAGCCTTAAAGTCAATTCTGTCAAGTGCAGGACCTACTCAACTGACTAGTCAGTTCAGCACTACAAAACCCAGCCTGGGCTCTCCTGTTGGTATAAAGCCACTGCTGCACACACGGTGTCTGTGGCCGAGTCCTTCAAGTCCTTGTGCAGGCAGATGATTCATTTATGACGCTGCTGTCTCAGCCCAAAACAGAAAATGAAAAATAGGCTGCAAGGCAAATGGTGCAAACACTGCTCCTTCTTCAAGGAGGCTTTTCCTTTTTCTAACACTGAGTTTGCCATTAACTTGAGAAACTACAGTTACAGTGCCTTGTACTTAGTGTAAAATTAGGATCTATGGTACTTAGAGTCCATCACCACAGCAGTTAATTTCCAATAATCTTCCCCACCCAGAGATGTAAGGAGATCTGTAGATAAGTGGTACAGAGACACATGCACCAGAGCTACAGAGGGCAGTGGCACCTCTGGCAGGGTTGGGTGGAAGTGAAGAAATCCTTAAAAGACCCCAAGTCTTACAGCTCACCAATGGTATTATCTGTGAGTCCTGCTTTGCTCCTGTTGCAAGTAGCCATGGCTTGTAACCAGCAGCACACAGCAACCGTGTGCAGCCACACTGTGCTGGGCTGCTTTGCTCCTGTTTCCATCAGAGTGTTGTACAAGGGTAGAAACTTCAAAACAGTGAATATGACTGCAGGGACCTTTCTCACAGCATCCAGATCACCGAGGTTGGCTCCCAGCCTGTCCCAGCTCTGAAGCCTGTTGTATTTGCTGTGTTTCTTCTGATCGGTGTACAGCCTGTCTGCTTATAGCCAGCCTGATCTGCCCTGTGAGGCTTTTGCAGGGGTACTGTCTTGTTAAATAGCTGTACAAAGTGAACAGGAGCTAGATATGTATCTAAAAGTGTGGGGGTTTTCTACAAAAACAGCCTTCTTGAGTAGCATTGCACTGCAGGAAGACATCTTAGGATTGACCCACAGTAAGTGCCAGTGCTCCACAGCTGTTTTTAACTTGCCTGCAGTCTTTAGAGCAAGTCCAAGTGAAGCAAGCCTTGGTTTCACAGCTAGGTGTTTCAAACAGATATCTGGGAAGAAGCTTTGTCACAACATTGAAAGCTCAATGTTGTGTTTTCATGCTTAATGGCCTTTTTTTTTCCCCCCCACTTAGGATATAGTAAATCAGTTGGCTAACCTGGCACTGATCAGCTCTACCTGTGACATGGTTTCTACAGTTTATGCCTCCACGAAGGAGAGCCACCCCTACATCAGAACAGTGTGTGACACAGCAGAGAAAGGAGTGAAGAGCATGACTGAAGCCACAGCCAGCTGTGTGCAGCCACTACTGGTTACCCTGGAGCCTCAAGGTAATTCCCTGTGGAAGGGGTGGCCTCATGTCCCTCTGAAGGGAACTAGAGTGTGGAAATGCACAGTTACTGTACTAAAATAACCACTGTGCATGAGGCAGAAAAACTGAGTCCTAATCCAGGTAATGTGACGAAGGGATGCTCTGTGAAGGACTGGGATGGACTTTGATGTTGGTTACTTGAAGAATGATCTTGCCAGGTCCAGCGCCTTTAGTTATAATTGCTCATAGTTTAGTTCTTGCCAGTTAATAATTGCTGAAGGAAAAAGCCTGCTCTTGGGCTGCCACATCTACTGGCCTTGTTTGCTATGATCCTTAATTACACGGATGGTTGTCTTCCATGAAGAAGCTCTAAACCCCTGCATGGATGAGGGGTTAATTACTGATGTGAAGTGTCTGGTGGAAGACTGTGACTGGCCTAGGTTCAGACAAAGTCCAGAGTAGGCATCTCTCTTGTTGGTAACTACTTGATCCTGGATCCTCATTATATGGATTACGTAACGGTTATATTATATGGTTATATGGATGTTTGGGCAGAAAGGATGGCTGTCCAACTATTTCATCAAGAAACCTGGGTAGGGGCACCACGTAGATGGCTGTGTCTGTTAAGGCTCGCTGCAGTCAAAGTGAACAGGTCTACATGGTGATGAAGGCAAACTGCTCTATGAATTCAGCTTGCAGCAGAGCACACCTGGCCTGGATGGAGACCTTCACCTGGGCTCCCTGCAGAACAACATACTTGATTGCTTATATTCCTGAGTGTTAGGAAAAACAAGCTTGAATTTCTTTCTTTTTCTTAACAGTGGCTGCAGCAAATGACTGTGCCTCTAGGAGTTTGGAAAAACTAGGGGAGAAGCTTCCAATTCTTCAAAAGCCAGTGGATCGGGTGAGAAATAAAGGCTGCCCTGTTCCTTGGAGGTTTTCTTACTTTGGGAGTAACGTAGGCTCTCGAGGAATGAAAAGCCCCCAGAGGAACAGTGCAAGCTCTTACAGGAGCAGGTAGTGCACAGAGTACTTTCAGTGTGCTATATGACCCACTCTCCTATCTGACATTTCTCTTCAACAGGTTATCTCTGAAACAAAAGAGCTGGTGTCATCCACAGTGGCTGATGCAAAGGATGTTGTGAGCAGCAGAGTGGCAGAGGTGGTAGATGCAACAGAGGAGGCCCTTCACAGTGGTGTGGAGGCTGCCAGATCTGCAGTGACCAGCAGCGTGGGGATGGTTAAGGACTTCAGAGTGGGCCAGATGGCTGTAAGCAGAGCAGAAGCTGTGCTGGGGAGAACAGGAGAAGATGACTCTCTCCCCATGGGAAATGAAGAACTAGGTCAGGCACTACGTGTGTAAGGGGATCATAAAATGGGGGACAGCTGGCACTGTTCCTTGCTCTGCTGGTGTGGACTGGGGCAGTGGGAAGTGCCATGTGGGAGGCAACCTGGCTCCTGACAAATCTTGGCTCTGCTTGGCAAAAACCATTGGTTTACTGTCTCTTTCCTCAGCCAAACTTGCAGCATCTGGGGAGGGTGCAGATATAATGTCTGTGGAGCTGCAGCAGCAGAACAGGAGGTATTTTGTGCGGTTGGGGTCTCTCTCTGATGAACTTCTCCAGCTTGCCTACCTGCACTCAAAGGATAAAGTTAAGCAGATCTGGCAGGGCTTGCGGGAGGCCCTTGGACAGCTTCACAGCATAATTGAGCTGGTAGGTAGAGCTTGGTGTTCCTGCTGAAGGGCAGGAGTTGACCAAAAGTTTGGCTTGGCCTCATCTTTGTTGCTTTGATAAGAACCTGTGTTGATTACCAGCTGACCTGTCTTGGCACCTTTCCTTACCTCCCTCAGATTGAGGTGTTTAAGCAAGGATTTAATGAAAATCTTCAGGAGGAGTTGCAAGAGCAATTATGCCTGATGTGGGTGGACTATACTAGGAAGCTTCCTGATGAGAGTGGAGATAACAGCTTTGCAAAGTCAGAGGTATCTACCTGGGAAGGAAAGCAAAAGGGTTCTGGGCATCTCCTTGTTTATTTTTTTTCTTCATATATATTTTTTTCTTTTTCTCTTGAAGTAACACTTCTCATCATCTTCCTGTCTTAGGAGATGGAGTCTCTGGCCCTACTCCTGGCAAACAGCATCACACAGCAGCTGCAAATCACCTGCTCTAAAGTTGTGTCTGCAATCCAAGGCCTTCCCTCAAGCCTTCAGGATAGATTGAAACACTCTTTTAATACCATAGAGGAGCTGCATGCTGTGTTCTTGGCAGCAAATTCCCTCCAGGACTTGTCCAGCACCGTCTTGGGCCATAGTCAAGAGAAACTGGCTGTAATCTATGAATACATGGAGGAGTTGCTGGACTACCTGTCGGACAACAAGCCTCTGTCCTGGCTGGTGGGACCATTCTCCCCTAGGAAGGAGGAGGAAGCCTTGTAGGAGAAAGAAGTGAGCATAAGCTGCTGAGAACCTTGAAGCTCCACAGGTCTGGCTGTTGCCTAGCACTTGGTCTTGGCCTTACGTACTCAACTTTCTAGCTGAAAGTGGGGTTGACACACTTTTGGATGTTTTAGGTTTTTTTTTTTTTTTAATACTAGTGAGAGTAAGCCTTTAGCAGCTTCAAAGGGAGGCGGTGGAATTAGCAATGTCACTATGTGGTGCCCAAGGCTGGAAGTATAGATCTAAAGATCTCCAATGCTCTCGCCTCCCTTGGAAGCTGTTCATGGTATGTCTCCATCAGTGTATCCAGATGGTGCCTATATGCAAAGCAATAATTGCATCTTTCAGATGGTATGCAATTTAAAGAATTCCTCCTAGAAAATGTTTGTACTCGGTACCCTGCTAAAAATAAAACTGTCACAAGCAGAAACTCATACTGTATCTCTTATCTTATGATGAGACCCTGCAAGAGTGAGTATTGCTCATCAAATGTGATCTACTTTTCTCTCCTTCAAGAATTCGTGTGCAGCTAAAACAGGACTGCTTTGCTTCTTTAATTTAATTGGAGGGGACAGGTCTGGGTTCAGCGAACTTGCTTCAAAACCCTTAAGCAGTGGTGTTCAGCCTTGTAGGCTGTGCTTCCAGATGGATTACATGGATCATTTATTCTGTAAAGAACCAAGAGAGTAGGTGGCTTGTCCTTATGGTGGCTTCAGCTTGCTAGACGTTAACTGTGAACACCACACAGCTGATAGAGGCAGGTGCAGGAGACTTCTAAAACACCTTGATGACAGTATGATGACAGTAAGTTCTTGGTACACATACTATGGGTGATGACAAAGAACGGTGCTTCTAGATATTTTGCTTTTAAAAAGAAAGACTCCTGTGGGTGATGTGGTGATTGGAGGCTGTCTTGGCCATGGTGGGCATGAAGTAATTGAGTTTAAAACCTTTGATCTGCTGCTATGTGGTGAGCATATCCCAGCCTGCAGCAGGATAGTGGGTTGCAGTGACTTCTCAGATGGACATCAATAGGCAGGCATTCACTGGCTTCTCAGACATGGATCTCCAGGTGCCCAGTCCTGTCAGAACCTTACTGGTGCTGGTCCTGCCAGTTCTGACCTGTTCTGGCCAAGAGATGCTGCAGTGGAGCTAGGAGCTCTCTGCACACCATGTATATACATGACTCTCTTTCAAAGAGTGAGAAGAACACACTGCTTTCAGACTTGCTGGACAGTAACGTCATTGAAGTTGATCTTCCAAAAGCCTCTGGAACAGGCAGCCCCACTTGTTACTTTTTGTACTCAATTCTGTGCTCCTTAAATACCAACTGGTTCATGCTGAAAGCAGAAGGGTAAGCCCATTGAAACTGACAGGCCAAGCTATGCTGCAGTCAGAGTTGAACTGCAGTATCATCTCTCCAATGCATGTTCTTTGATTACTGCTGTTTGGTTCCTCTCTGGTGAGGAGCTCTGGGAAAGGCATGCTCAGACTGTGTAATGTAATTACAGCTACACTTGCAGGGAGGGAAGGGGGTGCTGACTGCAGGTAGTACCAAGAGCTAGCCCTGATGCTTGGTAGGATGTATGTTGTCTCCTTCAGTATCAAAGCTGTGTCCAACTACCAACTGCCTAGGTGCTAAACTTACCTGGAGGAAAGTAAATGACTTTTGTACTCCACATTAATTTATCAGTGCAGCAAGTCAAATCTATATTAATTTAGTGCTTGCCCTAGCAAATCATGTGTGTTCTGCTTATGAATTGCTGGGGTATAGCCTTGCTTACTGCTTAAATCCACTTCCTGCAGTCACTATTGACAGCTCTTGCCTCGGGAACCTGGTGTGCAGTGAGAGGAGGAGGGAAATCACTCAGATGTTCTCCTGAAAAGTTGCTTCCAAGTGTTCTGGTTCATAAGGGGAAGTTATGGGCCATTAGGCTGCTCAGGACTGTGAGTGTCAGGATCTGTCCTCTCTGGGCTGAGTACAGCAACTCCTTCCCTCCAGCAGGTTCCAGAAAAATATCTATCAGGCACGTCTTAAATATACTAACTGTTCAAAATTCAAGGGCTAAAAAGAAAACCAACTCGTGACTTATTTTGGAGTTCTATAATTCTACTTTCTACTAGCCAGGGGTTTATCTGAATGGTGAGAAGTCCTCTGACTGTGTTTTGAGGGCCTATGGCTGCTGGGTAGCAACAAGTGAATGGATTTCCTGCAAATGGTTGAAGTGTAAACTCTTCTGAGCTCTGAGAGTAACCAGAACATTCTCAGTTCTGTCCAGACTAGTTTGTCTCTGCTTACTTTTCTTCACTTTGGGTAGGAGTAAGAAATGTTAGTAGTCTGACAAGCCTAGACAAATAGGGAAGGCATGCCTTGAGATGTCTTTTCTGGCTCTCAGTAGCCCTTGGAAACTCTGTGGTATTCCTCGATTCAGATAATGATAGCCCAAGTGATTGTCTTACCCTCCTCTACTGCTGTTCATGCCTGCTTAGGCTGTGGCCACGTATGACAGCTCAGTTGCAGGCAGATTTGAATTTTAAATGCAATCACAGGGGCACCTGCTCCTTGTTCCCCTCTTGCTAGATGCCACCTCATTTCCCTCTAGGAGTTTGCTTAGCATATTAATTATTTAATTCTCCGCTCACATTCATGCACTTGTGCCTCTTTCTATTCAGTCCCTGCTGTTGTCCCTTCATTGTTTGATGCCTGACTTCCAGGTCAGTGAATGTGCTGGTGCTTGGTGAAGGCTACCTTGGGCATCCCTCCAGAAAACTGTCATCTTCTCCAGGTTGAGTTAGGAGGCATTAGCCAACATGCTGCTGTGACCTCTACCTGGCAAGGGAAACTGCTGATGGAGGGTTTCCCAAGCAGCTTTGTTGGGAAGGCAATAGATTGGGAAACCAGAAATAGTAGCAAGTGCTGAAAGGCAAAAGCTCTCTAGTTGCTTGCAAAAAGCCTAATTCCACTCTACGTTTCCATGTTTCTGAACATATTAGTACGCTGACAGCCTTTACACAATATCTCCACTTACTGCCTGCTGTAAAATAATATACGTATATATGTTTTTTTACAGTTTGTGACTGCCATGAAAGGCTGCTTGTGTAGCTGGGGTCCTCACAGGTGTTCTGAATTGCCTTTTTTATGTGACTTTAAGCCTCTATGTGGAGAAATGTAAGATCCCCAAAGCTGACTGGAGTTAATCTGCAGTGGAAACTGGATGAAGCTTTTGCCGTCTGCTAGAAAATGATGGTGCTGTGCCTGGCCTCTGCTGGAGCAGTATTGGGTGGTGGGAACTATTCTGCTGCTGCATGATGTAGGCAGGAACTGTGTTCTGTAGCTTGGTTCCTTGCTTTCTAGCCATCTGCACTTGTCCTCTCTCTCTCCTATTACATCTCCTTTGCTTGCATCAGAGGAGCTGGGGAGAGGAAAATGTGGAGAGGATTCCCTGTGCTCCGAGTTGGGTGCTGCCCTGCTCAACGTGGGTACGGGAGCAGCTGAAGAAGGACAGCTGCTCTTGGCAGCACTTTGCAGAGCTCCCATGTGCAGCACGTGGGTGCTTTTCTGCCTGAAATCTTTGCAGAAGTCAGCACTCAGCTCTTCCTCCATCCCTCCCCAGGGCCTCTTCTGGCAGCTCCTGGTGAGGCTTAGAGCTGGACAGCTCTGCTGTCCTCCACCCCCTGTGGATGGCAAGGAAGGGAGTCAATAAATCTGCTTCAAATTGGCTTACAAACCAAGCATGAACTTGTGACAATTCCAATACTGCCTTCGTGTGCCTTGTTAAAGCCCCTGGTGCCTCTAAGAGTGACAGGAGCTGACCTGATCGATAGCTCTGCTGCCCTTCACTGCTGCAAAGCAGCTTCTGTGAATACAGAGCACTGCCAGCATATAATTGCCTGCACTGTGGTGCGTTCTGGACACCAGTGCCTGCCCCTATGGTAATGAAAATCCATTTGCAGAAGGAGTTGGTTTGCAGTATTGACTTCCTCATCTCCCTCTGATTCTCGTATTTATTTAGATTCAATGTGAGATGCTCCAGCAGTGGATCTGGGAGGTGATCTGGAGGATAATTAATGGAGTGAGTGCTGACACAGTTGGATTTCAAGCTATTCTGATGACTGATCCTCACTTTTTGTCCATTTGCATTAAGCTCACTTTGTAAACTGCAGCTTGCTGTGGGTGGTTGTGCTCCTGCTCAGCTCTTTCCATGGGCATCTCCGCAAGCCCTCTCCACCTCTCTTCACTGTGGATTGCTTCAAATATTTGTTTGTACCCAACTCTTTGGCACCCAAGAGCAGACTCCACCTTTGATACTCCAAAGTACCATCTCCTTGATGAGCTGAGTTGGAGCAGAAATACTTCTGGAGTTCAGCAAATTGGCAGCTTGAGGTGACCCACCAAGAGCCCTGCAGCTGCTTATTTTCCCTGTAGTGCTGGTGGGCAGGAGATGGGATGGTACTGCTCAGCTCTCCCAGCCCCTGTGCCCCCCTCCTACTGCCTTGGATGGGGGGAGGAGGAAAGTTGGCATTGGGTGTGTAAGAGGGGATTAACTGGGAAAGTTAAGTGTGGGCAAGGAACTGTGGGAAGGGCATGGAGGTTCAGACAGGAGAGAGCTGGGATGGGAAAACATGAGGGATGTGAGGAGCAGAGGAGAGGCTGGATTAAGAAGAGTGGGTTGGGGTAAATAGTGAGAATTCAGTGCGTGTTGGGAAGGAGGGATAGATGGAGCATCCTTAAACTTCAGAGCAGAAAAGCAGGAGTGCTTCACAGGGAGAGGGGTTCAGCGCAGGCAGTGGTCGGGCAAGGCAGAGGGTGCTGAGAACTGGGGAGGAACTGGGCAGCAGGAGGGGTGGCTGGGGATGATGTAGGTGCAGGGTGGGCTGCACGAGCCTGGGAACTGAGCGTGGGGAAGGGGTGGTGGTGTGCTCAGGAGGGACAGACCTGCGGCAGGGAAATCCAGAGGTTCACCCTCATGCGTGCTGTGCTTGCTGAAGCACTGCTCCAGCCCAGAGCACATCTGTTGGTGCCTTTGCTGCACCCTTCCCATGGGATGGTTACTGCAGCTGCAAGCTGAAGGTCACCATAAATGTCATGTCTATCCAGCTGCCTTCACAGGGTAATTACAGCT